TATCGGTGCGCCAGTCTCATCGCGGTCCTCGGCCTTTTCGATCCACATTCTGAACTGCGCTTGCTTTGTGCCATGCTTACTAGCCGCCTCTTCGACCGTCATTTCAGGGAACTCCAGAGCCGTATCAGGGCGAACAGTACCGTTTTGTCTGTTAACCATGGACCACGGACGTAGCATATCAGCCTGTGTTCCCAAGTCCTGAGCAACGGTTGCTGCAAAGTCGGCCATTGTAGTCGCTCGGAGAACTCGGTAAATCTTTGGACTAGCGGGCATCTCTACCTCGTTCTTCCACGGCACTATGTCGAACCCTTGGTAGACGCTGAATTGATCGTTGGATGCGACGGCGACATCCATGTAGAGATGCGCCTCCTCGCGCTCCTTCTTCCTGCGCTCCAAGGCAGCCCGTTCCTCAGCAAGTCGCTCGGCTAGATGCTTGGGGGGCTCTACAGCTTTACTGTCCATAAGAACTTGATCGAGTCTTGTCTCCCTGATATAGACCAGCATGTAAGCGCTCATGGAGCGCTTTGCAGACCAGGCTCGCGTGTAAGGATTCCGTTGGCCAGTGTTTCCGTTGGCTTGCACATAGTCGCCACCAAAGTTCTCCTCGAGCGCCTCCCGGAGTGTGGCACGTGTGACCCGGTCGTCGTCAAACTTGTAGTAGTGTCCGTCCTTGGTAGGCTTGAGAAAAGCGTAGTAATGGCCCGCATTAAGATCGCCGCTGTGAACCAAGACGCCGTGAAGGTGGTATACCCACGACTCTGATCGGTCGGCGCCCTCGGAGAGATACGGCGCGGCATCCCAAACCTCTGGGAATTCGTAACGGTCGTTGACCTTCATCATGGCGTCGCGCTGGAAGTCGTATTCGAAACGCTTTAGTTGGAGATGTAGCACTGGCGGAAAGCTCTCGAAAATAACACCCTTTCTGGCGTCCTGTAGCCCAAAGCCCTCTGCAAAATATTTGTTTTCACCGTCCATGGTTTCGACTTGGACGTAGTCTCTGAAGCTGTCGTCGAGGTTCTTGTTGCCGCTCACATTCAATTGAATATCCCAGAATTCCTCAACGCGAGAAGATTCGTAGTCGACGTTAATACATGATATGTAGGTCTTCATCTTGCCAACAAACATTTTTGTCAAGGCGCCCTCAGCCTCTGTGCCTTTCATTCTCTCATCGAGCTTGTCCATGAGCACGCGAGATAGCTCCTGCACATCTTGTTGCTCAAAAATCTGCTTAGAGTCCCAACCGAAAGAATGGGTCAATTCCGTGGTTCCTACAGCGGTGGTTGATGTTTGTAATAGGTAGAATAGCCTCTGCAGGGCGTATGCGCTATTCGAACGGTCGGCCTCTTCCGCAGTAGGGATTTGGTACACGGCCTACTGAGGTCAGTAGAAGTATCGTTAGCTCAGGCTTGGTACCTACTTGACGAAACGCCGTCGTGAAGAACAGGGATTGAAGAAGCGAATTCAGGTAACATGTTGCGCCCTGGTTCTTGAGACCAACCATGCCGGTTTCCTTTTTCGAATCGTAGCTAGACAAGTCAGAAGCAGGACTCTGGACGTCGCAATGCCAAGACTCACTTGATGAAGTTGTGCCATAGCACACCGGTGGGGTCCTTGAGCACTCTGACGTATGCCGTCACATTGGCAGCATTATCCTCGACCATTGGCCGGCCACGATCCTCCCATGAGTTGCTAAAGAGCTTTCTAAGCTCGGCGAAGCGTGTGAAGCCCCAATCGCCCTCGTCGGCGGTGAAGCGGTGGTGTGCGGTGTGTGTAGTGAAGATGCTGGGGTCGTTTGGGTTCCATAGGACAAGCATAAACTCTACGCAGGCATACCAGTCCTCGGGCATCTGCTTCTCGTCGTAGGCCTGCTCGAGGTAGAAGGAGGCAAAGTCGACGTTGTTACCGTAGGGGAAGAAGAGAATACGCCAGGGATGTCCACCGCACTCGAATATGGGGCCGTGTTCACGCCTAGTAAGTGTCCGCCAGTCCCTTATCTCCCAGGTGTGGTAGGCCTCGGCCTCTGTCTCATACTCGGCAGTCTTGGGCATATGCCTCTTCATAAAAGCATCGTACTCGTCTGCGCGGGGTTCGGCATCGGCGTCGACGTCGTCCATGGCATCGTCCGTGTCGGGCGTGATGATGGCAACGTCGGCCTTTTCGTCGTACTCGTGGTCGACAAGCATGTCACTCTCAAGCTGCAGGCACAGTGGGGTCAGCATGTTGGGGCATTGTGTCGAAGTGCAGCCGAGGGCGCAAGCTCACCTGGTCCATGGTGTCTGCTCGGGCCCGGCAGCAGCGGGAGGTAGTGCTGGGAGAAGTGGTGGTGGTAGTGGCGGCGGCGGCGGGGACAGACAGGCAGCAACGGCAGCAACAGCAGCGTCGGCAGGGAAGGAGCTTCCGGGATGGATGGCGGGCGGGAAGGCACGATGGTGTGCGCTCAACGCAGGGTGGGTGGCCGAGGAAAGCTGCGCGCCAGTCGCCGTCTCAGTCTGAAAGGAACGAAGTTGCAGGCGGGCGGAAGCAGATGCGCGCGAGCGACACACGGGCAAGGATGGCTGTCTCGCTAAAAGGTGGCGGCTGTGGAGACGTGACGATGGGATTATCGATCTGCCACGGTCCCAAAAAAAATAAAAAAAATTATGTATGTAGGGGTAGGAGGATGCAGTGTACTTTGGCGGGAGGCTTAGGAGAGGGCAGTCTGCGGCACACAAAGACAGAAGCCGGGGGGAGAACAGGACTTGCACGCCAACGGCCAGCCAGCCAGCGAGCGAGCTTCTCTTGTCTGCAAGTGCGGTGCAGCCTTGGCGTTTGTCGACGGTGGAGAGCACTGAGCTTACGACGTCATTCGTCAGTTTGTCGTCCCGTCCGAGGCTGGCAAGACATCATGCCATGTCCCCCGGCCACCATTGACGCTTGCAACACACACAGCACGCTTTCTGTTGTAGAGTTGCGCGCGTCTGCATCTGCTGACGAAGCATCCTCTGTAGACTGCCTGTACTTGGGCGCAGCCAGAAAATCCCAGGTGTTGAGGTTCGCCCGTCCAAAGCAGTGGTGCGCCCGAGTGCGGAGCTCAATGTCACATGTGCCCGTGTCCAGGTGCAGTGCCAACAGAACCTCGTAAACCCAAACACTTGCCTCTGAGACTCTCGGCAGCTATGATTGTAGGAAGACACCGTCTCGCACCGGCTGTGCGGTGCTCCTACAATGGCTTGCGAAGAGCCCCTCGCCCAGTCTGCCTTGCCCAAACCCACGCCCGTTCTCAGCATGCCGCAGCCGTTGCGCCCACATGGAGACCGTCTTCGGCCCTCGACGAGTAAGCTGCGTACCAGCAACTCATCCTCCATGGCCACTAGAGCTGATGCACGACTACAGATGGGTCCAGCGTGAAGCCAGGCCCATAAGCTTGCGCCAGTTGACTTTCTTCGGAAGAACCCTCACCGAGTCTCGTCTGCTCGACTCGGCCAACTACTGCAGATTGGAGCTTCCCACCAGGTCCTACTTTGGCGCCCTGTGTGCCAGAGCATCCTGCTGACTCTCTGCAGGCTCGCCCATCGTCTTCGCGATATCCAAACCCTGCCCTACGTCGTCGTCGCCAACCCCCATCTTGCCCATGTCTACGAATCATACCTGCGCGCTTTTGAGCGCTTTCGTCGCATACCTGAAATACGCTCGCTGCAAGACAATGACAAGTATTGCAAGGTGCTCGAGGAGACGTTGACCGAGCACGCGACCGTCATACCCCGCCTCGCAACAGGTGTCTTGGAGGTGCGAGGCCTCATCAAGCCAGAGGAAACCGACAAGTTCATGACCACCATGCTGCGCTCCGTATGATTTTACTCTCTCACACACGCACTTGAACCATACTGATGCAAATCAGCGCATATCTCGCAGAGTCATTGCAGAACAACACCTTGCTCTCACCGAAACCTTCAACTCGCCCTGGCACTTCCCCCAGGCCAAGCACCCTCCACATGACCAAGAAGCCGTTGGCGAGATCTTTCTGCGATGCAACGCCAAGGAAATTGTCGAAGACTGCGGAAAGACTATGCGGGAGCTGATCAGACGCACCTATGGCCCCGATGTTGCAATTCCCGAAGTCAAAGTCTACGGCCATGTCGAAGCAACGTTCCCCTACATCTTGAGCCATCTCGAGTACATCATCGGTGAATTGCTGCGCAACTCAATCCAGGCCGTCATTGAACAGCCCAAATCCAAAGGCACCAAGCTGCCACCAATTGAAGTTTTGATCTGCGAGACTTCGCAGCACGTCATCATCCGTATCTCTGACCAGGGCGGTGGCATCCCGAATGAGGTTCTGCCTTATCTGTGGAGCTTCAGCAAAGGGCCGCGACGCGAGAGGCGCATGGAGAATTTGGCGAGGGTACCGAAGCTCCTCGGGACGCTGCAGGAATTACAAGTGCCTGGCGCTGAGACTGCCGCCGAGATACAACAAAAGCAAGATACGCGATCAAAATATGGCGACTCGGGCCATCATATAGGCTCTTTATCTTCGTTGACCAGTCGTGCGCCAGATCTCCGTCTCGGCATCGGGCTTCCTATGTCGCGGCTGTATGCAGGTAAGCAAGTGACGACAGGCTCACTTCGATAGGTCTAACTGTCTTTAGAATATTGGGCTGGAAGCCTGGAAATACATAGCCTCGAAGGATATGGAGTTGATGCCTTTCTTCAGATATCCAAACTGGGTAATAAGAACGAGCGCCTCACCACGCGCGCTTCCATGGACGCCATATAGACGGGTCAGTGTGGTACATGCACCGCCCTACAAGGCGGGAAGGTGCCATTTGCATTCTGTTGTTTGTTGCGAGCGCTGCCTGCGCGTCAGTCAGTACAAGAGGAAGGCGCTCATGGCTGCCCACCCGTAACGAGTTCCAACGTCTGCACCATCTCTCACATCACTAGCATTACCGCTCCCGAACCAATTGCCCATCTTCAGATCACCGCATTATTCCCGCGCATCTATTGATTAGTAGCAATACAGCATGTCTACCAAGCCTTTTGTAAGCACATCAGCCCCGCCGTGCGAGCACTACTGACTTCCCTAGTCGTCGCTGCACCCGAGTGTCGGCGCTGACAGCAATGCTCATCCATCGCTAGTTACGACGACCATAGCGAATCCGCATATAATGACCCTCTTGGCTGAAGTGAATTTTAACGTGGAGATGCGCGGTCTCGCTGCAAATGCCCACGCATCATTTGGCCACATGTACCAACCTAGGCTACGGAAGTCACTAGACACGCAGCAAGGTGTGCATATCCTACCTGTGTCAGATCGCATCCAGGGCTTCGTGGTGCTGATTAGGAACAGCTGTCAGTCATCTCGATACGATATCTTGCTGGAAGGCCATGTCTTACGTGCAAGCTCACGAGCTTGCGCTCTGGGAGTCCTTGTTCCACCAGTGCTTAGTCTCGCAAATTGAAAAACGCTTGCGACGCACTGCCATTATCCAATTGAGCAAACGCAAAGGTGACGATGTACTCTTGGAGATATTCCATATAATCTACACTGAGACTGAAAATGGAAATGAGCTTGGCTCCATTGCATTGACAGGCTCTCTGCTTTCTTGCAACCTCTACTAAGCATGATCTAGATTATGTCGACGAAGTTTCCCTTCTTCCCTGTCTCATGCAGTCTTTTCCAGAGAATTACGCATGCTTCATCAATATCGATGTTTCCGGTCTTCTTCAGGACATGATTGGTGCCTACTGCAAAGAGCTTACGAGCCCGGCTGTTATGCGAAACCTCCAGTGGGCGCTTGGTTCCGGCAGTCTTCATAGCTTTATCTACAACTTTATCTCCATACAAGACTGCTTTAAGAACACCCCAACTGGACCATGCCTGTTCGTCAAATATTCAATCGATTGGTTTTCCTTTCCGTTGATCGCTGTCACTGCCGATATAGCCTGGCATCCCCCTGTATTCTACTTCAAGCTTGCTCCTGCTCAGATAAAGCCAGGAGCTCACTACGGTATTGCCCCTTGCCGCCGCCCGGTTCGTCAAGACGCTGGAATATCGGAATGCAAAAGCTTTCCCGACCATGTCGAATATGTTGTGACAAAATCTTCCTCCGTGGCTAAATGGTACCATAAGGGCAGGTTCTTCCTCATGCAGGCACCAGACAGATTGGAGGTATGATGAAACTTTCCGGCATACGGCAGCTCTATTTGCTTTGCTGACCGCTGACTATAGGGCAACAATGCAGCAGTGTTGGAGACAATAATGCAGGCTAAAGTCATCACACGCTTTCCGAAAAACGTGCTTTTCGAACGTACATCACGGTACGTCATCAAAGTTGAACTGGCACACGCCCGAGAAGTTAACTCGATGACGGAAACCCACGGAGTACCAACTACACTGGCATTGGTTATACCACCGCACAAAAGTACCAACTCTCTTCAGTCGCATGGTTGCCGGCATGTTCCTACTTCTCCGCCAGATTCTCTGGTCGAGTTGGTGGACCGTGGACCCGATCCCAATAGCGAGTGCTGCGATTCGAAGGAATACGTCGAACCCGTTGCCTCAGGTGTGTCAATGCAGAATGTACATGATCCAGAGTTGGAAACCGGGAAAAAAGCACCAAAAAAACGCACGAATTCATCGCGCGAGGACAACGCTATCCATCCCGACGATAACCGCACGCATGGTGCCCCAGATATCCAGCTTAAGCGCCGAAAGCTAAAGAAGACTGATGTGGCTGACAGCCAGGTCGAATCACCACCTACAGATCTATCTTGTTCTATGCTTCAATCGGCGCAGGATGACACACCTGATGACAAATTTTGCACACGCGAGATGCGCCGTTTGAGTATCTCGATTAATATGGCCGCTCCATTAATCAAGACCGATTCTCCATCTTCTCAGCTGCAAAATGAGTCTGAGAAAGTGATCTACAGGAAGCCAGATCGGGTAAGGAATGAGCCGTATCCAACACCGCCGTCTACACCTTCATCGCTTGCCTCTAGCTCTGACTATGGAAACTACTGTTCTAGAGTTGAACGCCCTGGTACTCACACATCGCAGATGGCCCAAGCCAGGAATGGGTCCCTGTGTCTGTATGAACTGTCACAGGATACTATTCAGCACAACTATCATGAATTTGAGGCGATGGCCCTGTGTCAGTCGACAAAGCAAGCTGACTGGGGCGATTCGAGCTTTGAGAAGATATTTATGGAAGAGAGCGATGCCGAAGGTTGGCACTCATCTGATGTTGATGACGTGGACGAGGAGATGGATGGCTATGGTATGGGGATGTGATGATCGCGGGGGGTGCCGTTTGGGCTGGTTGAGTGAGTTATCATTGAATTCTTGGTATGGCTATTTCGACTATTGGTATTCCTTCTTCGGCTCCTTTCGGTTCACCTGAGCCTAGGGTTGTTGGTTTGGCAAACATTTACGAATGTCATACTTAGGTGCCAATGCAAGATTATTACTGCTCGTTTGTGGATTGCTGGCAAAGTACTTCGTGTCCGACCAAACGCAGCATGTTGAGCGAACGTAGCTGTCTTTCTGCAACTCGACCCAACGCATTTCCAGTATGCTAATTAGCTCGCGAGTTGTAAGATGCTTGATTTGCCCAGAGGGTCTTCCATGCTCGAATCGACAACCGCAGAATGCGACTACCTCGCAGTAACTGCTCTTCCCAGTTTCTAACCAGCGAACATGACCAAATGACAAACGAAGTATCTTGGTATCATCCGTGTATACATACCTGCTTCCGTTCGCAACGAGACAATACATGTACCATTCACACTAGAAGAAAATCGATACTGCACTCTTGATCAAGTACTCAGCATAGCACCTACTCACCTCCATCTCGCCCAGACCGACATCATGAGTGAAAATTCTGTTCAAGATGCAGCTCTCATCTTCATACCTATCCTATTCATGACTTTTCAGATGGTGGTGATTTCAGCGTTGGCGCTCGTAGCTGGAGATGCTCGCTACAGTTCAAGGGATACTCGCGGGGTTAGTGCTAGGGAAGAAGGAGAGAAGAGGGTCGGATGCGTTGTTGTTAAGCAGGTGCATACGTGTACAGGGGAATGTGTGCGGTGTAGGACTGGCGGTGTGGAAGATGTTTTGTGGGAGAGGGAGAGCGAGAGGGAAAGAGAGCGAGAGGGAAAGAGAGCGAGAGGAAAGGGAACGGCGAGAAAGAGCGGATAAAAGGAGAGGGGGAATATGGAAGGTCATGGAGGGGGTGTTGAGGAGAGTTGATAGCGAGGATGGTGAGGACCTGCCCGAACAGGAAACGGAGGAGTATCCAGATTTCCCAGCCCATGAAGATGCTCGGTCGGAACCACCACTTTCCTTCTTCAATGGCTTATACGTGCCAGATTGCGGAGGTGTGAAAACAAAACGGTACCAGGATCGACAATTCTTCCAACGGGATGATAAGTCGTTCGAGGATGAGGCAGCGAGACGTGGTATCTCACGAGATCCATACATAGGGGTTGATCGGCGGCGGAAGCATCAGTGCTCTGCCTCAAGATAGCGGTCAGACCGTTCACAGCACAGAGGCCAATGAGATAAGCACGAGGAGAGAATAGATCTGCTCGATACGGATAGTCTCGATATGCTTTTCGGGCGTAAGGTGGAGAGAAATGTATGCATGTGCGGCTGGTGAGGAGGTTCAACCAATAGCGATATACAGAAGGGGTCGCGTCATCGGGATATTGCAGAAGGAACGTGTACTGATAAGTGAGTATACGACGACAGAATGCACGAGTTCAATGGGTATTATAACAGGACCATTGAGCGTTGTTCTCAAGTAGTCCCCGACGTGACGTAGACCCCGATATTAGCTAATCCCCGAAGTGAATAACGGCGATTGCGCAGTGACCCTACAAAAGCAGATGACCAACCCCAATACTAGAACCACCGTGTAGACCCCGATATCACCAAAGCTACTGCCATTCAAGCGCCATGACGCCGATTAAAGCATATCGTGCAGGATTCAATAAATCCTCGACCTCCTTCTCATCCCCAACCTGTGTGCATCTCCAAGGAACCAAGGTCGCCAGACCGCTGCTACCCGTTCACCGCCTCTGCACCTGCCTCATTGCACCAACACGTGGTTCCAGCCATAAAGCCGAAGCTGCCGTTACCCCGCCCCCACGGCCGTCGCTTATACCTGCGCGGTCCCGCTGCTTTTCGTCTACGCCTTCCATCACTCAATCACGCCATCGCCGCCATACCACAATCGACCACCATGGTTCAGGTACATGCCCCGTTTTCGCCATCAAATTTGCCCAAAACGGCAGACTATGTTACCTAGTTTGGCCCCCAGACTGGGTTTTTCGCTCTCTATACGAACCGTAGGGCTGACTCTGATGTCATAGCTTGTATACTCGGTCGAAAAGCCGCTAAATCGCGAGCCGGAGCTTGACAAGCTCGTTCAGAGGTATATTAGAGCCGCAAGCGCCAGTAGTGGAGCAAGAGTGAAATCTGGGGGGCTAACAGTGGGTCTAGTTTCATCACACAAGACGGCTACGATCGTAACCATGGGCCCATTCCGTACATCGACATTGATACGCACCGAGTAGCGATTACCGGGCTTGTAAACAATGAGATTTCGCTTTCCATTGCAGACCTCAAGGCACTTCCGCAGCACCATGTTGTTAGTGCGCTGCAGTGTGCTGGAAACCGTCGCCATACCATGCGAACGAAACTAAAGGAAGTTTGCGGCATAGACTGGTATGATGGCGCAGTCATGAATTGCAAGTGGAGTGGGCCTCTTCTGAAAGACGTCCTGGACAAGGCCGGTGTAAAGGTTGAAGAGGGAAAAATGAGCGAAGCTCATGTCGCTTTTTCTTGCTTTCAGACGACCACACAAGACGACAGCTACTATGGTGCTAGCATCCCGCTTTCACGAGCGATGAATCCAGAGAATGCGATTATGATTGCTCTTGAGATGAACGGCAAGCCACTCACACCAAACCGCGGCGCCCCTGTTCGCGTCGTCACTCCCGGCATTGCTGGCGCCAGGTGTGTCAAGTGGCTCGATCAGATATCCGTTCAACTAGGCGAGAGCCAGAACTACTACCAGCAGCAAGACTACAAGATCCTGCCCCCAGAGGCAGACAGCAAGGAAAAGGCAAAAGAATGGTGGGGCAAAGTGAGTTCGATTGTGGAAATGCCAGTCAACAGCGTCGTCGGTGTCCCAAAGTCCGGAACTACCGTCCAACGAGATGCCGATGGCACCATCGAAGTCAGGGGCTACGCATTACCCAGTGGAGCAGACGGTCCCATTGCCAAGGTCGAAGTTAGCGTCGATGATGGACAGTCGTGGGAGGAGGCTGAGCTGATCAACGAGTACGAAGGCGAAGACGCCAAGAATGTGGAGCTCAAATGGGCGTGGACACTGTGGAAAGCAAGAGTCAAGATTGACAAGGGCAAGGGTGTTACGATTTTCAGTCGCGCTACGGATCGGAGTGGTAATGTACAGGCCAAGTGTCCGACGTGGAATTACCGGGGCGTGTGCTACAATGGCTATGGCGAGGCCTTTGATTTGGAGATTGTTTGAGCGATTATGAGATTATGACGGGATGAGGGCGAGAATCCTTGATGAATTTTGGCCAGCGGGACACGGCGTTATTATTATTATTATTATTATTATTATTATTATTCTTAATTTTTTTTTCAAATAAATGCTTCACATCAATCATCAACCGCACAACAAGCGAAACAAAATCGAAGATGATGTCATTTTTCAATCCCAACTCCATACGGCACATGTGCATTCATAACTTGCATGCTTCATAAACCGAATCTTATAAGCCCAAACTCTTCCTCACATTGGTCCGAACAATACTCTCATACTCGGCCCTCTTCTCCCTCCACATCCTCGCCGCATCCACATTCGCCGGACTCTCATCATTCGGCTCGGCCAGCATACTCATCACACTAATCAGTATCTTCTCCACACTCTGTATCGGCGACCACCTTTCCGACGCTTGTTCGTATTGCATTGGATCTTCGCCTGGCGCGTGGAGAATCGAGATGCAGACTTCGCCGTTGGGATAGACTAAATCACCGAACGTTAGTTTCGCTTTTCCATTTTTTTTTCTCCTTTTCCGCATAAATCCACTTTCTCTCCAACCTCCACTCGCCCATCAGACTCCTATGTGTGTGTGTGTGTGTGTGTGTGTGTGTGTAATGTATGGGAAGGAAGAACATTTACCATTCGGATGCCACATATCAGTAAGAAACTTCATTTTCGGCGGCGCAAGCGGATAATCCTTTGGAAAACGCAGTTCAGCAGGAAACACGCCGCCTTCAAACGGTGTGCCCTCGGGACCTTGAATCAGCGCTTCCCAGATGAACATGTCGTCTTCGTTTATGGGGCCCGCGGTTATGCCCTCGGGGGGGTCGGAGGAGAGGGCTCGGTATTCTTTGAAGAGGCGCTTTGCGGCGGTTGAGGCCATGGTTGCGGAGTGGATGGAGAGAGAGAGGGGGGGAGTGGAGCGGGGTTGGTGGGTTGAGGTGAATCCGGGGGGAATTAGAGGGGTGTAGAGAGAAAGGTAGAAGAGGGTGTAGCGGTTTTTGCGAGGGATTAAGTAAGAGGAGGTTATGGTGGGTTTGTGGTTGCGGAGAATGTTTGTGTATAGGTGGTGAGTGCGGGTGTGGAGGTGCCGTTCCGACACGTCGGCGTTAATGCTGCGGAGTTAGTGGCGGTACGTAGTGCACGTGCCCTGCATTCGAAGTTCATGGATACGCAACATTGTTTTCACCTCTTTTGTCTGGTGGGATATTGCTTTCACAAACAATGGAAATCAGAATTTTTGTTTAGAGTTAGGGAATCAAGAGTTTTGATAGATATTTCTATATTTCCAAATTGCACAATCTAACCAAAGACCTCGATCATGAATCGATACTCAATCTTCCTACCCTCATTCCGCGCCCTCGCACTCAACATGCTGCACTGATCCGCAATCTGCTGACCAATCACTGGCGGACCACAAAAGAAGACTCCAACCTTGACTTCATCGTTTCCGCCTTGGTTCTTATCATCCAGTCCCTCCGCTAGCACCTTGCTCATATCATCATAATGTCGCTCCATGATGCCGCGGATATCTGGGCGTCCAAAATGTGTAGGATTGACAAGACCAGTGATGGGCGACTGAGGAAACTCTGGCGTGCGATGTTTTTCCAACAACCACCTGAAGACATGTTGAGAGATTTGCTTGCGCTTCTGTGTCACGTACGTGTTGACGCGGATGTCGAGATCTGGGGCTTTAGGTCCTGTTCGAGAGACTTCGTTCAAGAGGTCAGAGAACCAGAGCAGGTTATTCTTATCGCGGACCATCCAGTGGAAGTCCACTCGGCGGTGGTTGGTGTAAGGCGATGATTGTTGACGAGTGTCGTCGGAGAGCTCAGCGGAGTTTTCCTGAGACTTGACGCGTTCGAGTTCATGGTGTTGTAGATCGGTCAGTACTCCGGAAAAGGGTGTCACGCCGATACCGGCACTGTAGGGCGTTAGCACTTGGGTCTTATGAATATAGGGCGTATTCAGCCTACCCGAAGACCATGCTGTACTCGAAGTCGTAGAATCGCTGCGCGGGTGCGCCAAATGGACCATCTAATCCAATCTTGATGCTTTGCTTACCCCCCTGCTTAGCCAGATCACGGAGTTGGTTCGTCCAGTCGCCATCAGCCTTGATATGAACCTGCATGGTGTTCTTGATGCATGTAGACACCGTAAACGGATGCCACTGGAACCGTGACAGTTGTGGAACCTGCACAAACACATATTGACCAGCCTTATAGTCCCAAGGGCGAGTCTTGGGAACTTTTGCCGTGATAGCGACAGTCTCCTCGTCCAGTAGCTCGATGTCAGCAGTGATCGGGCGAAAGCTTAGAACCAACCGCCAAACGCGCTCAAAGAGAACCATCAGCGTCGGGAAGGCAAGCCAGTATCCAAACATTGGCCACTGCAAAAGGGCTGCAGTACCATGCGCCATCATGAACCCAATAATGGGAAACATCAGCAAATGGCCGAGTTGGAAGACCTCATAACTCCATTTTCGTATCTGAGGCATACTCATGATTGCCAGGAAATAGAAAAGTCCAAGAGATGTAAGACCGGTCCACCCTGGCAGAGAACGTAGAAAGCTGGTATATGAGCGCGGTACAGCATCTGGCCCGAGGGCGTTGGCAACCGCATCTTGTCGACTCGCCATACTACCAAAGACGAAGGAGCCGCTAAGATGGCCAATAGCGTGCAAAGTCGCAAAAACCAGCGCGACAATGGAGATCTTGATATGGAATGACTGAGACAGGTCCCAGTTGATGAATCTCGAAATAAAGTAGAAGCGGCGGAGGAACGTCGACAGCCACCTGGACATGGAGAGAATGAGGAAAAAGAAGGTCGGGTATAGCACGCCCGCGCACGTCTTTGAAAGCACAACTCCCCATCCGAATGCAGGCGTGTACTGGTCAAAAGTGAGATATTTGACGAACTGCCAGACTCCGAAGCCGATCATAAGCAGGAGG